AGTCAGATTCAGGCACGGCAGGCTGGTATGGCTGTGCAGAACGACCTTCAGCCATGGCGCTGTGTACAGTGAAGGTCTCCCTCCAACTTGTCCAGTAGCCAGATCTGCCAAGCTTTAGTCTGGCATTCCGCAGGACTTAACAGCTTTCCCCACCGGGGGTTTAGTTTAAATCTAGCCACCATCAAATTCAAGTGTACCTTGTTTACAAGTATTTTCTCTTTTTCTGTGGACTGGAAATGATAGGCTGGTTAGATAAAAAAGATGTGCAGCGGCATCTCCAGGTACTGTCATCCCATTCATCTCAAAAGGCCATCCACTATCCAATATACTGTAATTCTTAATTTTGCAGTACTTTTACCATGGTTTTTGCAGTCACTTCAGAATCTGCACTTCAAACTTATCATTACCATTCACAAATAATTCGCTCACTCAGACTTTCTTTTTTTCTGCACCTGCACCACCATGAACATATAGATCTGTGACCACCTCCATTTCTCTTCAGACCGCAAACTTTTGGTACCGTGAACATAAAAATGAATTACAGTATCGCTGGTATCTTTCTACGTGTATCTACAACATACTACCGCTATCTGGCTGATTTCAATGACATCAACTCTGTTGTTTATACACATATTAAGATGGTACAATACAGAAATACCTCTAAAATCTCATAATGTATCATTATGATCAGGTCTTCCTTTGTCACAATTTGCTGTATCACCTGTTTTCTGGTGTTTACAATCCTTTTTCCTCCAGAGATAACCCGTTTTTCCGTGGAATTTCTAGCATGGAATTTTGTAGAACAGTGGGGAATGGTTTGTGCGGAACAGTGTCAGGATGTAGGCAGATAGCTGCAGGAGATGTCTCACCTCTGTCATGTTGGATGGAGCTTCTTTGTCTCAGGCAGCGTCTATGTACTGTGATTCGTATACCTTAATTCAATTTATGTTTACTACATAGCAAAAGTTTGCAGTGTGAGAAAATGGACATGTTCGTGAAACTACATAATAATAAAAATCTTAGTTATATGTTCACAGTTGCGGCAGGGGAAGAAATTTAGGGTTCATGGTATTGATAGGTTTGCGGTATAGAAGTGACTGCAAAAAATGGGAACATAAAAGTACAGTACAGCAAAAAAATTGTGAATTACAGTGCTTTTCTAGTCTCTGAGAACCAAGGAGTGAACCTCCTTGGAAGAATGTTAAAGGTTTGGAAGTAGATCAAGAATGTGGGACGTCAAACAACTGTGTTGAGATGTGTGAGGTATCAAGCTGTTGAGCTTTCAACTTTTGAGTCAGAACATGTATTCACCAAGAATAAAGTAATGTGATTTTAATTCACTCTTTAACCATTGCTTAATGGCAGTATTCATAATCATCTAAGCATTGAAAATGTATTACAAAAGTGTGTTTAGTGATCACCTCTCTTCCAGGAGAGATTCTAAAGATACATACAATACAGTCATAGATGATTTTTTAAACGAAATTACGGTCAATGTACATCTCATACTGTAACTGACAGTGATCTCAACTAATAGTAATGAAACTTCACAATACCTAATAAATGTAGAAACTGGTGGAATTCTACTTATAGCTTGTGTTTTTTGCCTTTGCCTGTATGTTTCAATGTACATGTAATGTGTTTCGAAAATAACATTTGCGAATTTTGTATTTCTAGTTTTAATTTCTTGTTCGGTGGTATACAGGTATACAATGTACTTTGGAGCTCGTGTACAATATTATCACATCGTAAAAGTCAATTTCTAGTATTAACGGCATAGCGTAATAGCTTAGATTACAGGTAGAATGAAAGCTGGCATTCACAGATTATTTTCTTTGCACATCCCTGCTAAGCGCTGTACGCAGACGGTAACTGTACCTCCCAGTTCCTTGTAGGCGGGCTTCTGTTGATGCTCTGACAACTCTAAATGTCAGCCATCTGAATTCCAGTGTCTTCTGGTAATCCCCATAGAACGCCGAACTTGACTCAACAGTTTACATTAGATGTCTAGAATTCTGTGTTTCTCTCATCAGATGGAGCCAAGCCCTGTAAACCACAAGTATTTCTTCTGTATTGCTGGATGGTTCAAATTCTTTTGTCTGATGGTAGTAAGTTTTTCTTTTTTCAACCACTTGATGTTAGACCTTGTTTTGTCTTTACTACAAGTAGATAGAAACCACAGGCTTCGTTTGAGATTCCTGTATTCGTGGTCAGTCCCTCAGTTGCAATTGACTTTTCAAATTTCAGGAATAAAAAAATTTCTTATCTACATCCTCTCTAAATGTGCGTTAAGGCTACACTTAGTTGTGTTGATCCTTTCAAGCCACTAACAGACAGAGATAGCAAGTCTTTTCTGTAATGCGTCATTTAAAAAGGGGTTATTAAACAATGGAGATGTTGATGTCCAGATGGCACCCTAGATGTTGAGGGTCTACATGGGAGGATCCTGTCAATGCTTGATGGTAAATTTTGGGCTCTCTGCAAAAGGTTTTGGGAACAAGTTTGTTGAATTGTTTGTATTTATGGGATGTTTTGCCATTATATAGATGGCAAAACTAGGCTGTGGACATGGACACTAACCGAACACTCCTTTATGACTTTTGACCAATTTTGCTTCACAAACAATTCACCGATAACATAGGCCAGCTATGATTAATTGAGATTGCAGGCTGTACCTGAACGAAAAAGGTATGCAAACACTCTATGTAAGTTGTGTTTTAGCATTTAGATCTCTCAGAAAAAAAAGAAATTGCCCCCCCAAAAAAGCAAAATCTTTGATGTATTTCACCTTGAAGGTATGGAATATATGCTTGTCACGAAAAGACGTGACAAGCATATATTCCATGCCTTCAAGGTGAAATTCCCATCATGCAATGCTGAAACAAACACCGTGCCATCTCCACATGTGGTACGCTCACTACCCATGATGCAAAGGTGGCGGCCATCCGTGCATTCCCCTTCCCGAGGCCTGGTACGGTAGACCCCACATGTCTGTATCAGTTTATGCCTTGTTCTTGATGCAGTTACTTGACAGCGCTGGTGGCAACATGTCAGAGCTGCGGCTATGCCAAATAAATCACACTGCTACCTTCACCTTTTTACCGCACTCCCAAATTCCATGTGTTGTCATGTCAAGAATCCGTTTTCTTTTAAATTACCATTTGCATTTGCCCGTATTTTACCTTCTCTTCACAGTGTCATTAAAGTATGATTTGTTTGCAAACTGCAAATAACTAGACTTCTTCCAATCTCATTGATGTAACGTTACATGTATGTAGTAGTAATTTGACCAAAAAATACCTGAAAACATTGTGTTGTTTAATCCAACGTTGGACACTTGATCCTTATTTTCCCATATCATAATTTATTATGGGTTCACCCCACCACGAAGTGGTGTGGTGAAACCATATTGTCTTTGCTGATGATTCTCCTCCTTCTTCTCCTCCTGCCATATCTTTAAATGGATTCAGCTTCTTCATTTTAGGGCCTAAGGTCCTGAAATTTGGTATGGAGGTACAATGGGCAAATACCCCTAGGCGTTTTTTAAATTTTTGTGATACAGGCTTTTAGAATGGTTTTATTTGAGTTTTTTGGCTGTGTTATAGCAAATGTATTATTGTGTTAGTGTGCCGTATTTACCACGTTTGGGCATGAGTCATCACAATGGAATGCAGGGCATCAACCAATAGGCATGCAGCTTTCCTCTATTCTTCTTGCTGATTGGCTGTTGGGATTTAACTTGATTAACACCTGCACAGAGCATTTCCATACTGACAGTATGTCTGTATTCAAGTGTTTTGGTAGGTATTTCAAGCTTTCCTGCTCCAGCATTGGAATGCGGGGCATGAACGTTTTTTTTTTATTTTGAAAATCAACAGTTTGCATTATGCAATTAAAAATCCTAACCAATAATGTAGGGAATAGCTATCCAACTGTTGTTTTAGTTGTATGTTACTTCATATTATAGTTATATCAATGTAAATCATTGTTTTCCCTTGTGTTTCTCATTCTTTCCCTGCCATGTCGTAAAATGTGGTGAACCCATCGCTGTATTTGCTCCAAAGCAAATATTGGCCTTTCTAGTTATTCATGTATTTTTGTGTAGATAACAGACGGTGATAAATTGTTTAGGAAGAGCTTTCTCTTGACCTTGATTTTGTATTTTTTCTCTCTACGTGTTGTGTTTCCAGTCATAGTTATGACTGTATTCTTTGAATTATAAGCCTGAAATAGTTTACCTACATGTCCACCAATAAGTATGCAATAACAGTGATACATGATTTGCTTCCAACATGATAAATCATCAATATGATAAATATCAAACAAGATAAAAATCTTTGGCTGGTATTCTTGAATCAGACACCATGTTCCCACCCATAATGGTCTTGATGCATAAATACCTCAGACTCAGGCCATGTAACAACTTGTCTTTGATGATAAGATGCTGTTATGATGTAGTTATGTTGATGAAAGGATGAGGATCAGATGTGGCCTGGAGATGAGTAGCACATGTGAAGTGGCTACAGAAAGTAAGACCAATGTGGTCATTGTAACTTAGTTTACTTCTTGTGATGACTGACAGTCCAAGTGGTTGATTGGAAGGTGACGGAAGAACAATCTGAATTAGCATGTGGGCAGAACGTACTGCGCCTGTGCAAGAGCCAGATTTTTCAAGTTTTTATCGGATGTTTGGTCAGAATTTTTCCTGTTGCAGACGTTATCTTTTCCGAACCAACATTTGAAAAGTATAGATGGGATGTCGTCCTTTTATACGCGGATACGAGCTCAAACGAGACGTTCTGCCACAATACATTACGGGTTTCGTGCAGGTGCAGTATGTTCTGCAGACATGCTGAATGAAATGACACTAGAGGCACAGCATTGTTCTAAAGTGGGCGATGCATAATCAGAATGATTAAAAAGTGTTGTTTTTTTTATTCAATCACATTTCTTTCATGTTTACAATGTGTTGTACATGTATCTCTTTGTCCCTAACACAGATGATGGGACCTTCCTAGCCTGCGGACTGGCCAACAAGTCAGCTCTGGTCCTCAAGATGCCAGGACTCACCAAACCTCTCAGTGTCACAGGTAATTCACCTTGAACCTCATCATTTCCTCATCATTAGAAACACCTGTCCAGTGTCAATAAACCTGAATAAGCCTACCCTGTACAAAGGAGAAACTCTGTTTACAGGTCGCGAAATCAGGAGGGATGGCCGTAAAGCCGCATGGGTCCCCTGTGTGGTTAACGAGCGTCTTAATGAGGATTGTCTGGGAACTGGGCACATCCCAAGGCTGTCATTGTTCTTTCCTGCCAGATTGACACTGGCCTGAGTGAGATCTGTACAGCTGTACGTGGGGGGGGGGGGGCTCCATGCCTTATTGCATAGAGAGTAATCAGTAGTAGTGGTAGCAGTAGTAATGGTAGTACATGTAGCAACTGTGCAATAGTAGTAGTAGTACATGTAGTTGTACATGGAGCAGGAAGAGGAGGAGTAGTTGTATAGTAGTATGGTACAGTGTAGTAGTAGTAGCAGGAGTACACATGTAGTACATCAAGTAGCAGGGGTAGGAGGAGGAGGAGTAGTAACAGTAGCAGCAGCAGTAGTAGTAGTAGCAGTAGTAGTAGTAGTAGTAGTAGTAGTAGTAGCAGTAGCAGTAGTAGCAGCAGTAGTAGTAGTAGCAGTAGTAGTAGTAGTAGTACTAGTAGTAGTAATAGTAGTAGCAGTAGCAGTAGCGGTAGTCATACACATGTACATGTAGCAGTTAGGTGCATGCAGTAACGTTCAAGTAATAGCAGCAGTTACTGTAGTAGAATTAGTAGACTGTTTTCCTTGGGATAAAAGCTTGTTAGCAGCCCATTAAAAAGGCTGAAGAAACCCATTTGACAAATGAATTTGACTGGGATATCCCGTGTCATCTTCAGCTATCAGTACGTTATTCCTAAGTCTTACCTAATCAGAACTACATTTGTACATCATCATGTAAATCTTTGAAAATCCCTTGCCTAGTTTGTGCATACCTTTTTGGGGTTAATGACTTGTTATTGTCCCTCCCATGTTGTTTTTATGAAATCTGACCAAGAGTATACTGGGTCCATCTTGATACTTTTGACAAATGCAGTACGGTATAAAGAGATGCAGCTGTTATACTTACCAGAAGAAAAATGGCAATGGTCACGTTTATAAGATCGTGGAAACAGTGTCAACATATGATGTGTTACTTATTGAATTCCTGAAAACAGTATGAAAAGGTCATGAAGGCTGCAAATTTTGACTTTTAATGTTAGTAATATGTAATGCTGACGTGGTTATTTGTAAGCAAAGCTGAGGCCACACCAATTTAATATGTTGGTTCTCGGATTCGCCTCTTCATTTTTTTCTGATTTGCAAAAAAAAAAAAAGATTCTGGTTCTGAATCAACTCTAAAATGCTCATATTTTTCCCCCAACAGTTGAGGAAATTCCTTTTCTTCCTAGTTGTTACAGTTTTTTCCATCTATCAATGCAGTGGTTTGATTAAAAGTTCAAAATTTATACTTTAAATTTTAACCCAGCCTTTTTTGTTGACTTCATGGCTCATATTGTAGCATTTGGGGCTAAAATAGGATGCCTAGACCTGTTTTTATTTTTATTTTTTTTCGCCCTGTCGCTGAGAACCAACAAATTAAATTGGTGTGGCCTGATGGTGGAAATCTTTGGATGATTTAGGAACAGATTTAGCAAAATAACATGACAACACTAACAGAAACGCATGAAGCAGTACTTAGTCTTCTTACTTCTTGGCATGGAAGTATTGTTTTGGGTAGGTTGTCTGTGGGTTTGTATGTATGTTTGGACAGGTAAAGTAGGTTGACAGCACGTGGGTGGGGGAGAGATTGATAAGCAGAATGACAGCAGACACAGGGGGATGTACTTGAAGGTCCCAGAATCTGGTCAGGATCTGGCAGGAATTAGAGGTTGATATATGGGGGAATTCAGGAAGCTGAGGATTGCCTGAGCAACTCTCCAACCTTGCATCATTTCCTTGCTTGTTCGAATAAATTAATGAAAACAGGAAATACATGTACTTCCTGAAAGTCAAAAATTTCAGATTAAAATTTCTTGTTTGGGGGATATTTATGTTATATCTTAATCTGTTTAATTAAACATAGACCAAGTAACGTTACTAAGTCTTATAATTGTACTTCCTGAAAGTCAAAAATTTCAGATTAAAATTTCTTGTTGTGTTTGGGGGATATTTATGTTACTAAGTCTTAATATAATTGGATTTGGTACATCATGTAAGATTTGATCGCAGCGTGCTGCATCAAAGTCATTTGTAACGGTACCCACGTTAAAGTTCTGGTGGATGCCAGCAACAGGTAGGTGTTATCATGCCCAGGAGGAGGTTGTTTATATCTGTAGCAAATTGCAGGCTGGAAGTCAGCCTGGTTCACTTGAGGCAAATGAACCTCTACCACCTCCGTGCGGTGTCTCGGCCTTGAGAGCCAACTGTGGGTGTAGCGACGGAATACATGGTAAAAAAATCTCTCACCGGGTGGTTAGGAGGGTGATTTATTCTTTGTGTACATGTTACTAATCACTCAGATGTAGCAAAGGCTGGTGGAGTGTGCAGACAGCAGCTGCCAACAGAAAATAAACCCAATGTCCTTCAATACGACCTTGACCCAAGGTGAGGAGACGGAGATGGGGGTGGGGGGCAGCATCCCTGGAGTGGATGTTATTGGCAGGAGATACCAGTGTACAGATCACACTACAATACCACAGTAAAGAGCTGAAATAACTTCCCATCTGCATGCGTGAAAATTGTGATAAAACATTGTGCGAAGCACGATTAAAAGCCGTGTGTATTTCTCTATTAAAATATTGTGCAAAAGCCATGCACTTCTCATTTACATCGCACTCATTTCTTCTGTTAAACGGGTGTAGATATTAGCATAATCACATGTGGTTCTACATTATTGATAGCCACATGCGATTGCAACTAATTAGGGCACGCTGTTTTCAGGCCTTTAGCACAAGTTTTAACCACTGCTTTTACACAGCTTTTGCAGGATTTACACAACTTTTGCACAAGAAATAAACAAGATAAAACCGTGTGTAAAATGCGTGGGAAGAGAAGTTAATCAAGATCTTAACTGTACTTACTTAGTGGCTGGTGTGATACCGATCTAAGGATGCTTGCTATGTCTTGGTATGTCTACCGATCCTCCTAATCTGCAATACGGTAATTAGTCTCTTAAATACAATCTTCCCCTGGCAATTTCAGCTTATCTATAGCCCTGGAATACTGGCATCATGTATAAGATTGTACTAGATATGTACAAGAGCCACATCAGATAGGAGATAGTGTGGAGTCAGGGGAGGTGCTCCAGGCCAAATAGTGGGCGATGTTTGGCACAGTCCACATGATTGAAGCAATCTCATTGATAACATTGGAGAATCTCTTTTTTAGCAATAATGTGAGAAGGTACATTGTGTATACATTCTTATTTTGTCGGAAAAAAAGTCTAAAAGGACTAATACGAAATCGAGTATTTTATAATGTGATATTTCAATCCAACAGTAACACAGTTTGTCTCAAATAAATATAGTACTTTTTGCAGAGATATCTTTGAATGCTATACAAATATGTGCACGATGCAACTATTGGTGAATTGCAGATTTCAGGTTCTTTCTTTGAACCATAAAGAGACGATTATTGTTTGTCATGTCCGTAACTGTTTGTCAGCAAAAGGCAAGGTTGACTTTGGAGCTTCTTAGTAGTCTAAAAAAATGTGCAAAGCAGGTAAAAAAGGACTAGTTCCAAGAAGACTTGGGGAAATAATGAGAGTTACAGATCGACGTAGAATGCCCAAAGGTGCACACCTGGCCTTTTGTTGGCTTTTTCATGAAAACAACTTTTCTGGTGATTCATTTCATGCCTTAGATTCAAAGGACCGTATGGATAAAACATCTCTAACCGTGTTCAGTGATTAACCTGTGAAGTGTATTAACGAAGTTGTTGTTTAGGAAACCGTGATTGACAGATGTGTTTGCAGAGGTTAATTACAGGTCGGCCGTTACATCAGCGAGGCTGACTCCTTGTCTCCTTCTGGCTTCTTGGAACTGTGTCTTTTAAATTGTTTTACATACCACCCGTCTAACGAAGCCTACCAGGTATCTCACCTGCTTGATTGACAGCGGCCCCTGTCTATCAGAAACTAACCAGGTGTTTAACTAATTCACCTTGAAATAGCCCACCCTCTAATTTGAATGAGATTACCTGGTAGTAATGCCGGGCACCTTTCATTAACCTTTCCAAGGTCAGACCTTGTTAAACCTGAGCGTTACAATCACTGTGACACTCGCAAGGTTAAGTCATACTTATACAGTCAAACGTGTCTAAGAAGACCACCAAGGAAAATTGGTCTTCTTCGACAAATGGTCTCCTTATACATTTTGTACAAAAAGCATGGGGACAAGATAGGACATACATTGTAGACCGAGAAAACTCTACTACCCATTTTACAACAGACTGCCCATTATATTGACCTAAAGTGGCCCAGTTGGTTACATTTTACATTGCGTAAAAACTGTTATGCTGTCAAAGTCAATGGCAAACTGGCCAATTTGTTCAAATTTCTTGGTAGACATTCAAGTTATCATAAAAAAATGTTTTATGCCAAACGATTGAAAATGATGCGGTCCTCATAGGCAGAGATTGGGCCATGTGAAGTTCCAAAGTGTACCAGTCATGGTCGCATTGGACAAGTGGCTTAAATACATCTGTGGGAATAAAAAATCAGGACCAAGAAAAATAGTCCATATGGCTGGCTTACAGAAGTGGCGCTTGGGCAAGTTTGACTGTATTGTATTGCAAGCTGTTCTAAAGGTTGATCTGTGTATTAATGACGTGTCAATGCACCCTGTACTTGAATTATAATGTAGATGTACCATCAGCATTATTGCAGACAGTAATAACTAGTATCCCCTTCATCAGAAAATTTACAGCTAGAAAAATGGCATTTTGCTAGCCCCCCTTCAGTTCAAAGGTATAATATGACTACCATGGTGTGAAACAATCTGTTACAAACCAGTCGGCTAG